GGAGAAGCCAGGAAGAAGGCACCATGTCTGAATTCTGCTGGTAACTTCATCTCTGATTTCTGAGGCTCAGTATTATGACCAATAATCTTAGGCTGTTTGTGAATAACCCCGGCGCGGCATCTTCCAAGAGATGGAGATCCCTGCATACCCACACTTCCAGGGGCAGAATCACAGGAGCTAAGATGCAGAAACGGCCTAAGTACCATCGACACAAGAGTGGATAAAGGAAAAGGAGTATATGTGCACGGTGGACTATTGTACAGCCAAGAAGGAAGGAACCTTGCCATTTCCAGGAAAATGATTGGAACTGGGGATCTCACAGTAAGCAAAATAAACCAGAATGAGGGAGTTGAAAAAGAAAAGTCACATGGTTGCTCTTATATGAGAAGTTTTAAAATGGCCGGGCGTGATGGCGCATGCCTGTATTCGCAGCACTCAGGAGGCTGAGGCAGGAGAATCGTTTCGAGTTCGAGACCAGCCTGGGCTACAAAGTGAGCTCAAGGCCAGCCTGAACTGCATAGCGAGACCCTGTCTCAAAAAGGCAAAAAAAAAAAACCAAAAGGAAGAAAGAAGGAAGAAATCAACAGGGACAAGAGGTAACAGGAAGCCAGGACATAAGACTCTCGGAGAGGGGAGCTACAGAGGAGGTAGAAAAGGTTTGGGCCGGGAAAGGATGGAGCTACGCCCCTCGCACACCCGGCATTCCCACAAACAAGCCTCACCACTCTGTGTTACCACCATGCTCTAATAAAAAGCAAAATCAGAATTTAAAAAACGTTGCAGTTCCAAAGCTGCACAGATGACTGACCCGACGCTGCTATTCTGTGACAGACGGCGGGAATGTGACCCAGAAGTCCGGGGAGGAGGGGGCTCCTGGTTCCGGGATGCAGGCGGTCAGCAGGGACAGTGTGTGGTACATGGCCAACAGGGAGAGCTGACCTCGGGCCGTAAGCGTTCATGACGCCCATCAAGGGCCCTGGACGTCAAGGGATTGGGGGGCAGCTCTGGGTGTCGAGCTCAGCAAGACAGGAGGGACCCAGTCTCCAGCCCTAAGGACTAAGGTCAGGGACTGAAATTGCTAGGGAGTATTGTTGTGGTCCAAAGCTTTTCGCAGGTGTCCCAGAGTCATTCCACACCCACCTGCCCCGCATGCCCATCAATGGAGAGACGGGTGAAGAAGATATGGTATCTGTACACTGCAGAATACTATGCTACCATGAACAAGGACGAGCCTGAGCCATTTGTAGGCAGATGGATGTGCCCCGAGACCTCACATGAAATAAATCAGACGCACGATCCAATCGCCTTCCCAACAGCCTGGCCTGTACGAGCTCCGTTTTTGACCCTAGGCTTTTTGTCTTGGCAAGCATCAGGTAACAGATGTCTGTTATTCTCTGATTCCTTTGGACGGTGCTTTCTGGATGAACCATTATGAACCTGGCCTGTAGTCCTCACTGTCGAACGGGGCGTGCCCAATCCAGGCACGGTGGGGCACATCTGACGTCCTAGCACTGTGGGAGGCTGAGGCAGGAGGACTACAAGACAGTCATTTTCAAAATAAAAAAGTAAAAATTGACCTGGGGATTTACCTCCATGTGAAGGCCCTGGAACCAAAACGGACAGGAAGGCGAAAGGGAAAGGATGGAAAATGATCAAAGCATCGGATGTATGCATTTAATCCCCCAGATAAATGTGATTATTGTGCAGGATAACTATATACACGGAAGAAAAGGAGACACAGAGAGAGAGATCTTTTGCAAATGAGAAAAGGAACAAGAGACGGAGGAACGGGAGGAGAAGGAATGGGGTGTGGAGCCGAGCCGGGTTCGAGCATGCACGGCTCCCGCAGGGAGCAAACGAGCTGTTCACGCCTCAGACTTGGACGCCCGGGAAGGAAAAGGGGAAGGGAAAGGACGGGAGCGAGGCGGGGCGCACACTCACAGCTGGATGAGGAAGGGGTGGCTCACTTCCTGCAGCACCGCCTTTTCGTTCTGCACGTGCTGTTCCTGCTTCAGGCGGAGGACGTCCGGGATGCTCATCACCTTCAGCGCGAAGAAGTGCTGCGCGGCCTTCTCCTTCACCAGGTGGACGCGCCCGAAGGTCCCCGTGCCTGGCCGGGAGAGAAGCGAGCACAGGGTCACTGCTGCTGCCCACGGTCCCGGGCGGCCACCGGAGACGACCCGGAGACGGAGCCCACCGACCCAGCTGGAGGTCAGAGCCCGAGGTGGACAGTGAAAGTCGGGACTGCAAATCTCCTGCATGGAACTTTTGATCGCATATGGAAATGAAAGAGACAGAGAGAGAGAGACAGACAGAGAGAGACAGACAGAGACAGAGCAGAGAGGCTTGCAAGGGCAAATCAAAACCTGTGTTCAAATTTTAAAAAATAACCTACTATAGCAAAAACAAACTGCCACGCATCTCCTCAAAATCCTCCCCGGCTTTGCACACACTCATCCCGTGGGCCCGGCCGCTTTCTGCAGCAGCTCTGGAGTCCTCTTTCCTGAGGGTCTTTCCCAGGTGTGATCAAGAACAAGGTGATGGCTACTGCTGAGCGCCGTCCAGCAGAAAGGCGGCTCCGAAACACACAACCCCGTGTCCTCGTCCAGCTCACTCACCAGATCCAGCACCAGGACCCTTGGGGAAGGGCAAGGAGGGGCATCCAGAAATAACAGGCCCACAGGGCTGTGAGGAAGGTCTCAACTCCCGCAGAACCCCGTGAGTCCAAACCCAAGATCACCACCAAAGTCACGGGCACAAATACCATCCCCCTTGTGTTCATGCCGTCTGTTTATAAACTGTCAGCGAGGCCACTGGCCGTTCCTCCTGTTTCCCGTCTGGTGCAACTGTCCTACTTTTTGCGGATGAAACCCGGATCTTCTCACACTCCTCTCAAAACTTCACGCTGAGTGAGACCTTAGGAGACCTCGCCAGTGCTCTTCCCCTTTTGAATTTTAATTTTCTCTGAAGTTCCCTAAATGATCAGTTTTAGTTCCTGCTGGGGCCATTTGCCTTTACTTATTTTGATCTATGCTACAGTACAATTTCTGAGGCTTTTTTTGTTTGTTTGTTTTTCTTTTTGAGTCAGTGTCCCACTATGTAGCCCACGCTGCCCTTGAACTCCCGGAGACCCTCCTGCCTCAGCCTCCCGAGAGCTGGGATGACAAGCATGCGTCATCCCGCCTCGCTTCTACTACAGTGTGATTTATCACTCCGTGCCGCATGGATGATTGCTTTCCAAAGACAGAGATTAGAGAAAGACTCAGGCTTCTGTGTGTGATGGGCTGGGTGTCCAAAGTGCTGGTGTGTCACTAAACCAGTCCACCTAGTCGCCATAACAGGCAAACCCTCATGCTGGGAATCAGCATTCCACCTGTGGGTCTTACGCAACCCGCCCTGTCCCAAACGTAACGTAACATAACGCAGCGTAACGTAGCGTAACATAACGTAGCGTAAACGTACCATAACGTAACGTAAAGTATCCTAAAGTGCCGTAAAGTACCGTAAAGTAATGTAATGTAAAGTAAAATAAAATAAAGTAAAATAAATAAAATAACATGCTGTCTCCTTTTCCATCAGGAAAGATGCTTCTCTCCTTTTTGGCCAAAAAAAATTGGCCAAAGCCAGTGGTATCCAGGAAAGATTCGTATACTTCGAGTTTCTGATCTCATTTCCAGACTCATTGTCAAAATTCTTCAGTGTCAATGGCAGTGCTATTCAAGAGTATCTCTGCTGCCAGCTGCTACAGGCTTTTAGGGTGACGTGCATCCAGGCAGAGTGGAGCACATCTGCCGTCCCAGCAGTGCAGGAGGCTGAAGCAGGAGGATTACAAGAGAGTCTTTTTTGAAATAAAAAAATAAAAATTGAACTGGGGATTTACCCGTGAAGGCCGTGGGCCCCTAAACAACCAACCAACTGAAGGTAAATAAATAGAGTATCTCAGTGAGTGTAGCCACCGGAGCATTAGGTACACCCCATTAGACAGTGAGCACTACAGATCAGGATCATCGTGGTTTATCCAGAAAGCGCTGTCCAAAGCAATCAGAGAATAAGAGAAGTCTGTAACCCGACACTCCCCAAGAGAAAAAGGCAGGGGTCAAAAAAGGATCATAAGGTCTAACTTCAGAAGTGGATTAATCCAGGGGCCGGGGATTTAGCTCAGCAGCAAAGCACCTGCCCGGCAAGCGCAAGGTCGTGAGTTCGGTTCCGGGTACGGGAGAAAAACCAAAAAAACCAAAAAAATTTTAAAAAATGAAATAAAAATTAAAAAAAAAAAAGAAGTGGATTAATTCACCGGTCAGCTTGTAGCTCAATGGGTTTCTTTGGAGGTGAAGCTCGACTGCAAGCAGCAGCTCACTGGGGCAGCCTTCGAAGGGGATATACTGACCCCTTCCTGTCTGCTTCCTTCCCTCTCTTATTGCTTCCTGGTCACCATGACTTGGACATCTACCCTGAAGCAGCCCACCATGGACTGCACCCTCTGCCACCGTGATTCCAATGAATTCTCTGCTCCTTTAAGTAGCGAGAGTCAGGTGTCTTGTCTAGCAACAACAAAAACTGACCAATAGAGGATGGATGTGGAGAATGGCGGGGGATGGTTGCACGAGGTCTCCCTGCTTCTGGTCTCCATGATATGGGTGTCTTGCTCCTCCACACCCGTCCGCCATGATGCTCCTGCCTTGGAGCAGCCGGCCGTGGACTGCACCCTCTGCAACCGTGAGCCTAATCAACCTCTCCTCCTCCCAGTTGCTTTTATCAGGCATGTGGTCATCGCAACAGAAAGCTGCCCCACACAGAATGTCCAGGAAAACAGCATGGGGTAAGTAGGGTCTGGTGCCACCTGTAGTGACAGGGCTCTCTGAGCGTGTCTGCTACAGGTAAGAGGAAGGTATCACATTCACTCAGCACAGACTGGACGCCAGCCTTGGCCCAGCTCTCCCTTGGCAAAATGATCGTCCATCAAATATCTGATCTCAGAAAAAGCACAAGCCACCCCTTGGGGAAATAGCGTTTGATGGGAGAAAAAGAAAAAATTAAAATGAATGAAAAGGCAAAGGCTACATCCCTGGAGCACCTGTTCAAAGCCTGTCCTGTTAGGGTTAAAATCCATCCACCCTGCCCACAACGCTCCTGTTCTTCCTGTCTGGTGGGATTAGTAACCTGAGAACCATCTTGTTCCCTACCTTGCCCACACCAGGGGAGCTCTGTTATTGTGAATCAAATTTTCCTCACTGAGTCCCGGGGGAGGAGCCAGCACCCTCTGCATGGGGGTGCCAACGAAGGCACCCGGGAAGGGCAATTCACAAAGCCACCTGCAGCTGCAGAACTGGGGGCGACCCGGTGGAAATCCTGCCTTCACGCTCCACACGGCTAAGTGGCTGGGGGCCGAAGCTCATGTCCTGCACACAATGCTCCCAATCTTTCCTGGACAGACGGACGGATGGACAGACAGACAGGGCTTCAGCGTATTGGGTTTCACCTGATTGTTCACCAGAATCCAAAGGACTGCGGTTTTCAGCGCCTATATGTGATTCTTGCTGAATCGACGACAAACCTTTGGTGTGTGTGTGTGTGTGTGTCTGTGTATGTGTGTGTGTATGTGTGTGTGCGTTTGTCTGTGTCCTGGGGATTGAATCCAAGCCCTCTACAAACAGTGACATCCTCACCCCTTTTCTTTTCTTTTTTTTGGTTTGTTTTCTGGTACCAGGAATCAAACTCACAACCTTGCGCTTGCCAGGCAGGCGCTCTGCCGCTGAGCTAAATCCCCAGCCCTTTCAGCCCTTTTCGTTTTGTAAATTTCTCTGGAAACAGCGTCTCGTCTGACGAGGCCCAGGCTGGGCTGCAACTTGCAATCCTCCTGCCTCAGCCTCCTAGAACAAGGGCATGACAGGTGCGTGCTGCCAGGTGCAGCCCTCCAGCTTTTTGGCCGATGCAAGTGTGGACGTGGATCGCACACAAAAGCACGTGGGATGGGAAGAGAAGCGGTGACCTCAGCCCCGAGAGGATCTGCCTCAGGAAACCATGCCACTGTCCAACACCTCCGACTCATCTGCCACCCCGAGGTCCCTCCAGTCCTGCCGGCCTCCCCCGTCGAAGCCCAAGTCCCTGATGAGCAGTACCCAAGAAGGACAGGCAGGCTGCCTGGGTGGCATCTGGTGCTGCAGCGACTTAAATGCTCTGGATGAGCTGGGCGTGGTCATCCCAGCACTGGGGAGGCTGAGGCAGGAGGATCGTTGCGAGTTCAAGCCCAGCCTGGGCTACAAAGTGAGCTCAAGGCCAGCCTAAACTGCACAGTGAGACCCTGTCTCAAAAAGAAAATAAATAAATACATAAATGCCATAGATGTTTTGAGTGGCGCGGTCCCTTGCTTTCTCTTTGAAGCGGGAGACGAGCTCCTCAGACCCACAAACTCTGCCGCCACACGAGGTGTGGGGAATTTGAGGTCCAGATGCTGCTTGTTTTCCTCACACTTCCTTCTGCGGCTGTCTGGGTGGGGCGGGCGTGCTGGGTGCTGGGTGCTGGGTGTGTGGAGGGTGGGCCCGAGGCTAAAACAGCACAGGAAACTGCAAAATCAGCTGCCTGAGAAATGCTCAAAGTGTGACAGGCGCATGGCGATGTCTTTCCCACTCCGCCAGGTGGTCTCTCTGTGTTTTCCAGGACTCAGGTTGTGCTGTTCAAAGGAGCAGGGTCAAAACAGCACCCAATGACTGGACGCAGTAGCGCACGCCTGTCATCCCAGCACCCTGGGAGGCTGAGGCGGGAGGATCGCAAGTTGGAGGAGTTACCCAATCTGGGTAACATACTAAAGCTATGTTTCAAAATGAGAAAAGGGAAAAAAATAATAATAAAAAGCACATCGCTTTTAGAAACAAGACAAATAAAAGTTATAGCAGGAGGGACAGAAATAAACACATTAAAACCAGAGCCAGAAAAGTAAATCACTAAAAAGGAAAACAGCAAATCAACAGAGAAAAATCAAGAGAGAAATCAGCAATGCTAACCCCAAAGCAAGCAGAAGACAAACAACGGGAGCTTCTGAAGGCGGGCATGGTGGCGCACACAGGTCATCGCAGCACTGGGGAGGCTGAGGCAGGAGGATCAAACAGCACA